TCCGAGCGGGTCCCCCCGCCCCCCTGCAGCCGCTTCGGGCAGGACCGGGGTCCCACGCGGCGCCTGGGCCCGTTTCGGACCCCGCGCAGCCCCTGGGTGCCCCTGTCCCCGCGGTCACCACCCAGGTCCCTTCCCGCTGTCCCCTCCGCGGCCTGGGGGGCCGGCTCCTTCCTGCCTGGCAGGGGATGTTTTGTTCATCTCCTCGGTGACTTTATTTGGATTTAATGTCACTATAGGTGCCACTTCCAGCTGGCTTCTCCCCGCTTTCCCTCCACCTCGTTAGTGCAATCACTGCATCCGTATTAAATATTTACAGTGCTCGCTGTGCTGCTGAGCCTCCCCGGTCCCTTCCGCTTCCAATTAAAGATTGACGAGGCCGGCGCTGGTGGCTCTAAAAAACTTGTCCTGTGGAGCCCAGAACTGGACACAATACTCCAGATGTGGCCTCACCAGGGCTGAGTAGAGGGGCAGGATCCCCTCCCTCGACCTGCTAGAGATGCTCTTCTTAATGCAGCCCAGGATTGTCCTGCAAGGAGAGTCCCCAGCAAAGGCAGGATCCGGCCACGGTGCTGAGCAGCGCTGGGGACGCGGGATGTGGATTCAGGCGCTGGAGAAATCCCAACTCGAGGCCTGCAACTTCTGCACGAACCCAAGCAGAATCATCCCAGAGGCCTCCGAAATCAGGGAAAACATCACGGGAGCAGCTGCAGGGCTCAGAGCGCAGCAAAACGCACAGGAACGGGGGACTTCCATCACCCTCCTGCAAGATTTATGCATTTTGTAGCCCGTTTTTTTGTGCTCCTTGGGAAGGCTGCTGGAGTCATCCGCACCGAGAGCATCTTCCCTCCACGCGAGTGAGGCCGGGGCCATTAGGACTAATTAACTTTCTGCCAGTTACCTCTAGCGAACGAATAAATCTCATACACTCACTGGGAATCTAATAACAGAAACCCAGTGAGTGACCGCAAAACTTAAAGCAAAGTCGGTGGCGGAGGGGGACGAGCAGGAGGTGCAGAACAGGACAAGGTGGCCAGGAAGGATCCAAGGAGGTGGCCTTGGAAGGGCAGGGAGATGGGGCCACAAAGGACAGATAAACGCAGGTATCCAGATAACTGCAGGTGTCATTGGCTGCATGGAGCCAGTGCTGCTGGAAAGGAAAGGTTCCAGCCCCATTCTCCCCGTGTTTTCCCTCGTTTTCCCCGTGTTTTCCCTCGTTTTTCCCATTTTCCACTCCCCGAGGCGGATGCTTCTTGTCAGCAGCCGAACGGCTGTTGGGGCCCTGCATTATTTATCCTCTCTGTAACATTTACTGGGATTTAGTGTTTAATAACTGTCACTCCAATATATCTTTTCTTAATCCCCTTAGATCCGTCGCTGTGGCAATTTTAAATATTTATCAACGCGGTTTGTGTGTTCACTAGTAAGGTTGCATTTTTCTTGTAATTAAAGATTTACAAGACACCGCTCAAGATTTAGGGAGACTCGGGGAAGATCAAAGCCAGTTCCATGAGAAACCACCAGCTTTTCCCGCAGGCCCCGGGTGCCCCATCCACTTGGGATGGTGCAAATCCCGGGTGCTTTGGGGAAGGTGTCTCTTTTTCTCCCCGTTATCGCCCAAACTTTGCAGAAACACCCACAAACCGCCCACGCAGGGTGCATCGGGGTGGCACCAGCATCGCTTTTATTTCCTTTGTCCGCATCCCTCCTTCCCCAGAGCTGCGGGACGGAGAAGGGGGCGCTTTGGGAATACTCAAAAACGGAAAATAAAACCGCTGCCCACAACACGTGTCCCAGTGGGAAAGGCCTTTTCCTGGTATTCCCAAACGGGGACAGTCCAGCAAGGAGGCGGCGGTGCTGGGGAAGGGGCAACCTGCGACCATCCATATGGCTGTTGGACCTGGGACATCGCTCCGGACGCCGCTGCTCCCATAGTCGAGTCCTTTGCTTGAAATGCCCCTTTTTTTTCCTCTTTTGGTTCGGTTTTGGATAAAAAAAGCGGTTTTCC